TTTGTTTTGTTTTGGGGGTTGTTTTTTTTTTTGGTCCACATGGAGCTTCAGTCATATTTCTGTCAGCTGCAAGGAAACGAGGCCAAACCTGCGTAAAGACAGTACAGTGCATTTCTGCCCCCAGAAGTACGTGTACACAAATAAATCATCTTTCCTCAGCAGTTGGTGGCATCGGCCTGCTCTCCTCACTCCAGTTTGCTGTTGCCTTTAATTTCCACATTCCTCAGAGGTTTCTGTGGGATTGCACTCACAAAAAACAATACTCAGCAGCTGTTGCTGCTGAACATCTTTAAAGCTTCTCACGATGCCGTCGGGCCAGAGTGGAAAAGCTGTTAAAAGGTTTTCCATGCAAATGTCTTTTTAAGGCAAAGATCAAACAGTCGTATGTATCTGAACAAGCGAGGAAAAGGAAAGAATATTGAATATTTGCTTGTCACGGATTAGTTAGTTTTCTTTGCTGAACGTTTTTATTTGTAACTTGAGGCAGTGAAGAACAGATAGGCTAATGCAGTTTGCAGGACTCAGAGGTGTACCCTGCCAGCTCACTAATAAAGCGTGGAAGGTTACTGCAAGGTTGGGCTGACAGTGTTGTTGTGCACGTTAGTTCTGCCTTTTTTCTTTTTTTCCACTGTTCTCAACTCCAAGAGTTTCCTAATCAGCACATAAAGGCGCTTCCCTCTTCATGAGCTACAAGCTGCATCACTGTTTGTAAATGAGGTCTTCCTGTCTGGTCTAATGCGTTTTTTTGTGCATCCCAGAAACGAGTTGCATTTGTCCTTCCAGATATCTTTCCAACGTTCAAGGTTGAATCGACTAAACAAAAGCCTTGAACGCTCAGTCAGGCTGCAGGAGATAAGACTGACCTACAAAGTGTTGCACACGCTGGATATTTCAATGTGCTGAGTGACTGATTTTCATTGTGTCAGGAATAATTCTTAGAGTTACGCTTATTCTGTGCTCCCCCGCTGCTAAATGAATTTCACGGAGTTTCAAGGCTCATGGAAGCTGTGAATGAGGGTGATAACTAGAAAATAAGATGCTTTCGAAGTCACTCACATTTGGGTGCAATCACTGAGTGTGCCTTTCTGGAGCTCCCCTTTTCTTTTTCACGCCTACCTTCCTTCCTTCTTTAACTCCGCCCCCCCCAACCCTCCACCCTCACACCCCCCATCTGTCTTTCTCTCTTCATGCCAGCTGCATGGGTGGGTGTGCTACAGTATGCTGACTGCAGAGGGAAGGAGAGAGGGTGTGACAGAGAGAGCAAGAGGAGAAGAAAGGCTAGGGATAACCAAGCCACACGCACATGATGGTACAGCCTGTTCTGTATACACTGCAAATTCTTCCATCAAAAAAAAAGCCTGAAGTTCACTGCTCATAATTTCTGACTTAAATAAACTCGAATATCTCAAGAGAATAAGAGTTTTTCTGGTCACGGGGGAATTAAATAAAGCACCGCTCTCTGTGTTGTGGTGTGTGCAGAAAAAGGCTGAATGTGGAGATTTTCCTGCTGCAGTCAGGCTGCTGTGGATGACCGTCGAGATGACTGACAGAACAGACACAACCAGCAGTCTGCCCCTCTGCACTCACTTATATGCAGAAATATAGTCCAAAAATCACTGAACGACTGAATACTTCAGTCTGACACATTATATTAACATATCAGAAATGCTTTATTTTATCCATCTAAAAATATGCTGCATATCGCACTGAGCATCTTTTAACATCACTGCCACCATTCGAGACTGTTGCTCCTGCCTGATATACCCCTAAAAAAGGCATTAATGGCTTGATCTTTTGATCAGATGCGTTTTATTGTCCAGAAAAGCTGCTGAGTTTCTAGTGCCTCTAATCTGCTTGCTTTGCTTTTATGGCTCAAGTGAAATGGACTCAAAGGCGAGCGCCTAATGTGAGACATAAAAGCCAGACAAAGCATACAGCAGACACAGATACAACAGAGAGATGCACATCTTCACTCGAGTGCTATACAAGGGGGGAAAAAGAACTATTAAAATAATGTAAAGGTACTTTTAATGATATGATTGTAAGCTGTGGCTTTAAGTTGAAATGATTCTCTCGTACAAAGCACGACAGGATGTTTAGCTTCATCGGATGTTTTATTAAATGTGGCACAGCTCACGGGGGATTGCATTTTTATTTAAATATATTCTGATTACACTGAGAGTGGCTCCACAGTGTAGTGGTTTACACGTTTGTTTAAGAAGCAAAAGATCCCCGGAGGTGGCACGAAAAACTTTTGGGGTTGGATTTGCCAAATCAAGCTCGCAGAGAGATAGCTGGTAAAAAAAAAAAAAATACATCAGAAAAGCAGTCAAAAGCAGCTTTTTCCACCATGCTGATTTCACTCCTATATCCCAAAAATAAGGATAATAAAATAAAATGCTAATATGACAAATGTGTCCTTACAGATCCAGACTGTGGCAGTCTCTAGCACTCAGTCTTTGATGTAAAGTTTCAGATTTTGTTTCATAAATTATGCATGAGCTCACCGAGGATGTACTGCATCGAGCATCTGTTATGTTAACCACCAGCAGCAGCAAACACAAACTGTCAGCATACAGCTTTAACAAGACTCTGATCGCCTGCGTTTAATCTCTGATTTTTCGATTTCTCTCTCTTCCCGCTGTCTTTGTGTGTCTCTTGCATTTTTCAGAGTTGACAAGCGAGTTGAAGATGAAGCCTCCGGGCAGGAGTCAAATAGGTATGTTTGAGTTCACATACGCTCCCTTCACAGGCTCTCCCTAGTTCTCCTCTCTCTGCCGTGCCTGACTGTGTTCGTGCCTCTTGGATTTTTGTCATCTTTCTTTGGCTTTGAGGACACAAAGACAGCCACATGTTTACATCTCCCCGAGCTAGTTTTCACTCACCCTCCCCATACTCAGCTTTAACCCCCAGATGACCCCTGTCTCTCTCCATGCTTCCACCCTTGCATCCTCCAGGGGACAGATCGTTGTCGGCCACCGCTGCCTCTCTCTTCAGGAGGGAGGAGTCTCTGGTAAAGCCACGTGTGTAAAAAGATGCTACAGCTTCACACGTAAGATGAAGAAACTGTCTCAGCGGCTAAAGCGTACCTCGTGAAGGTGGCTCAGTGCAGAAAGAGGCACCATTTTGTCTCAGCGAATTGGAGACAGACTCCAGAAAGAGCAGTCAAAAGGCTGTATAAATGTGCGTGTGCTTGTAAAGAGTGCGGGAGGCAGGGGGGAGGAGTTGTGCCTGGCTGCATTACTCAGCCATTAGATCCCATCTACTTTATCCAGGGCAGGTTATCCCCCCACTCACGATACATCATGCAGCACAGCCCTGTGTTCTCCTCCTCACCCCGGCAAATTGATCCATCCTCTTTTTTTTCGTCTTCTGCTCTCCTTTTTTCCTCGAGGTCCCGGTGGGGGTGTCCACTTACAGATTTTGCTGAGAGCGAGAGAGAAGGAGATGTAGGAAACAAGAGAGGAAAAGAAAGGAGAGAAGTAACAAGGGGGAGAGAGGAGGGCAATTAAGGCAAAAGGAAAGGCGGCAGAGTGCAGTCAGCTGCAGACATGGAGGCGTATGGATGGACGTAAAGTTCACATTAGGTAGTTCTATAGCAGGCGTATGAGTTTAGGTGGGGTGTGGTGATGGGCGAAAGAGAAGCCGGTCGGCCTTCAGAGGATCGATCCTGTAAGAAAAATGGAGAAAATAAAGAAATAAATGAGTAACAGAGATGAAACCCAATAAAAGGCCTGTCATGGACAGAGAAATTACATGAATGGGATACCATAAGCTGCAAGATGTTACAGTTTGGACCCCCAATTTCAAAGCTTTTGTCAGTATATGAAGCAGCTTATTAGGATTTTTCAGGTCGGTTTCCCTCTGGGCAGAAGGGTCAATGCCGGCCTCTGTGGTTATAATCCCCTGCTCCTCCTGCTCCTCCAGCAGCTTCTCCTGCTCAGTAAGCCCTGAGGTAACCGAACTGACTCAGGGCTTTTCATCCATACCTGGCTCTCATCCCTGTGGGGAATTTTACTGGAATAAAAAGAGATGAAAGCTCGTCTACAGAGGCAAAAAGGAGAAAAAGCAATGAGCAGTGTGCTGTGTTAAACACGACCTTGGCAGAGAAGGCGTTTAGTAGTAGCCTGAATGAAAGTCTGTGTCTGTGCAGTCTGTTTAAATGTGGGACTGTGTTGTGAGGACAAGCTTTGCATACTGTACAGAATATAAATGCTTATGGAGCAGCATTAGCTCTGCTTTGGTGATAAGAAGTAAAACACATGAATCAAGCTGTAGCTTCTGTTTTTCTCTGATCCACAAATTCGGCATGTGAGCATCAGTCGGCCTGCAGTGGGCAGGACATATTAAAGATATCAAATATCACAGTAACACACAGATTTTCCCACAATATGGACCGAACGGCCTCACAAAAAACGACCGTTCATTATCAAACATCAGAATGGAAACGAGGACAATATTAGTTTGATCCACTGACAAAAAAAAGTGATTGATCGAGAATTTTGATTATTTATCAGTCAGAAAATATTTCTTTTCATTTTTTAGGTCAGGAGAAAATGTTTATATTTCTCCAGAAAAAATCATTCTGATTATTTTATCACATAAAGAAAAATGGTGGGATGCCCACCCCAGGATGGAAATGAGAGCAGGAGATTGACAGATGGATCGGTGCAGCGTCTGCAGTAATGTGGATGCTGTACCGGTCTCAGCTCAGCTCTGTCTTCATGGTGATGACGCAGCTGAGCTTCACAGCAAATCTGACGATTTACTGGTCGATCTGCGCTGTTATGGCCATCAGCTGTGGGTAGTGACCAAAATAATTAGATTGCTGATGCAAGCGGCAGAAAATGAGATTCCTCTGAAGGGTGTCTGGGCTCCTGAGGAGCTCGGTCACTTAGGAGTGGCTCAGAGTTAATGCTGCTCCCCCAGATTTAAAGGAGCTGTTTTGGTGCCTCCTAAATGAAGTATTTTGGGCATGGTAAACTGGGAGGAGGCCCTGTGGTAGGAAAAAATGGATAATGATGTTATGAGGGAGCACCTCAACAGTTGAGATGGGTGGGACATGGGAGGTCTGGGTGTCTCTACAACAGAAGATGGATTGATGGATGGTAAAACAGAGGAGAGTATGTTGCATACCAGAGAGGTTTCCATAAATGTGAAACAAACTTTATTCTGAAACTCTACATGTTCATAATTTGCATTTCTGGTCTGCATCAGAATTGCAGGAGGAAGAGGAGCTCTTGGAAGCTCGCAGTCTGGAGGTTGAAAACCGCCTGGCAGAAAAGGAGTGCGCCTTGGGAGAGCTTAGGAAGGAGCTCACTCAGAAAGGGGCTTTGGTGGGAGTTCTCAGAGCCAATCTCAAGCAAAAAGAGCGCCATTTTCTGGAGGAGCTGAAAAGCCGCAGCCACTGTTCGACCGTCCTTAACACGGAGCTGCAGAAACAAACCGAGGCTGCGGCATACCTCTCCTTCCAGCTGCACGCTGCGAGGCAGAAACTGCACCAGCAGCGGATGCAGCAGAGGCAGGGCCTGCTTTCCAGGGCCAACAACCAGGGGCTCCAGTACGGTGCTGAGTATAACTCCACAGTTTCTCCACAGATGCTTTCAGGAGCTTCGCCTTCTTCTCCTGTGGTTAAACCAAAACGTAAGAGCGCTAGGGCTTCCTCGAGAGCTGAGCGTTCCCGAGAGTGTGTGCCGACAGAGAAAGTGACGGGCCCTGCAGAGCCCACAGCCATGCCGGACCCTGCTCTCTTCCTGCACCCTCGAAGGCACAGGGCCCGCTCCAGGCACAGTGCGGCACAAAGACAGCCTCCACTGGGCATGGAGAAGGAAGAAGAGGAGGACGATGAAGGGGCAGGGGGTGGGGAAGGGCCAGTGGAGCCCCAAGATGAAGCTGCTAGACTGGTGTCTTCAGCAGCAGCGCCTCCCGCTGCGGAGACGCAAGCAGATTAGTAACTACTGTGACATGTGCATTTCAACCACTGTATCATCTGTCAGACTGTTAATGGTGATAACTGTTGTTCTGCACCTTGACTGAGACTGGTTTTAGCCATTTTATTATATCACACTCACTATACGCTCTTTTTTTAAATATGAACTTTGAAGTAACCTTAAATAACTCGCAAAAGTCAGTAAGTGTCACTTTAGGTCAGTCTTTTAAACTAGAAGGAATTGTTTACACTGCTGTCAGATACTCTCTGCATACTGCGGGGCCTTATTTTATGGTAGCCCCCCCTTCTTGGTTTGAGTTTGACCGTGGTAGCAGTCATTTAGAGTGGACTAGAAGCTGCTGTGGTAGTTGTGTTACCCAGGCAGCTGTGACCTTTAAAGGCCCTTCATAAATCACCCTAGGTGGCTGAGTGTTTGTCTGCGGCACAGCTGAATATATCTGAGGTGGTAGGCACATGAAAAAACGATTGATCCCCAGGAAATTCCTCACTTTGAATAGAAACATACATAGTTTGTTGTTGTTGTTGGGTTTTTTGGGTTGTTTTTTTTTACTTCTTTTTGGAAAAAATCCATAGCCATGCATCAAAGTCCCCGGTGTAATCTGAAAAACAGAAGTAATCAGTCCAGGCAACGATTTTTAAGGAAACTTGCTTTAAATAACTGCACGGTACAAATCACATTTTCACAGCAGACTTTAGATATCTCTGTCAGTTTTACCTGGCATCAAGGCCGTGTCTAAAATGAATATCATGCTCACTCAACAGGCACTAACTGCCAGAGTTACTAAAAGGTTGCCCGGCACAGTAAAAAGTACTATCAGTATCCAGAAAGAGATCACAGTGACAAGATTGCCTGTGATATGTTGATATTAAATATGTAATTTTGGGATTTCCCTTCTCAAGGTGCAAAATATAAGAAGGAGAATGTTTAAATCAAGCACGCACACTAATTTAATAATGCAATTTACTTTTAATTGTGCCGATATTTAACACAGAATAAAAGCAGGTCTTATTTTTTTTTAACTTGATGCTGAAATTGACCGTTCAAAAAGCAGCGCAACTTTTGTAAAGCACGCTATTTTGCCCTTTTTAATAAATCTGGCCCTAAACTCTTCTCTGTAACCAGCAGAATGCCTGTTTGAGAAACACTCCCTTACAGCAGCCTGGTTACGTTTGGGCAACAAAGCTACAAGGCTGGTTTGAGTCAGAGTACACCTGTTTAACAATGTCACTCACATCACAGAAAGCCTGAAGGCAAACTGTTGCCATGTGCAAAGCAGCCAATCAGTGTTTCAACTAACAACAAAGCGTTTTCCCACAGCCCGCCTTCACTGTTCTGGTTAGTGACCAGATCATGATACACTTTAGAGCAGCGATCCCCCAACCCCCGGGCCACAGACCAGTACAGGTCCAAGAGTCGTTTGGTACCGGGCCGCGAGAGTCGAGGCTAACCCTAACCCGGTTTTCAGGGTTGTTATCGGTTTTTATCATTATTTTTTTTATCGTTTTATCGTTAACTCGGTTTCCCTGTGTCTTTTCCCGGGTGTTATGAATAAATCGTCTTTTTTTTGTACAGGTTTTATTTTGTTGTATTTATCCGCGACACCTTAAAGGCTGGTCTGTGAAAATATTGTCGGACATAAACCGGACACAAATCCGTGGCGCAAAAAAGGTTGGGGACCGCTGTTTTAGAGTGGACCTATTGTGCTTTTTTTTTTAAATTATTTTTGTTGTAAATACAGTTCTAAGCAAATTTATTAGATCACCAAAAATTCTGTTCAGGAATGCAAGTAAATTAATACAATTTGGCATCTCAACCAAAAAAATATAATGTGCTTTAATATTGTTTTTATACTTTTTTTTTCTACAGCAGCTGATTTGAAAGTAATAATTGACGACAATAATTATATTTTAGCATTAAAAATGTGCATACAGAATATTAACCATTACAGAAACATAAAAAAAAAATTAGTTACAGATACTGTTTGCTTAGGGCCGCTGAGGCATAAACCTTACACTGGGCGGTGGTCTAATACATTTCTTAAGTACTGTATGTAAGGCAAAAGCTCAGTCTACTGTCTCTGCATGATGAAGGGAGGAGATATCCTTATGTGGTCCTCTCAGGCTCCACCCACCTATCGTCCAAACCTTCTGCTTATGAGAGGCAACCAATCAGAAGAAGGCTGGCTTAAAGGGTAAGGAGCTACAACAGCTTGTTTCAGTCAGTGGATGAGGGCAAGTGTAAGATGAAGAAGAATTATTTTGAACTGTGAATCGTGCAAATCTAAAGTCCTGAAAGGTACTAAAGGTCATTAGACTTTTGTTTGTCTACATCAATCTCAGCCAACAGGTTAAAAAAACATTAGAAGAAGACAAAATATTATCACTACATTACTAAGAAAGCATCGCAACTTGTCATTCATTTTTAAATAGCGGTAGAGATACAATGTGAAAATAATTAACTTAATTCCTTTAAGGTACACAGTATATTTTATCAGTGCCTGTCTCTAAAGGAGGAGAGGTCAGCCACATGAAACTTCAGTCTGTATGTTTTAAGAAGTGATGGATTGGGGTGGTGTGCTGCCTTTCCTTTGCAGGGCCTGCTTTGCGTGTAAACAGGCCACATGCTGGTGATAATCAGTTCTGACTCACTGGACTGTGCACTTTACTCAGGTGTGGGTTGTGTACAGAAAACACACACGTACGACGCCTTCTTTGGCATATTTGTGTTTGAGGGTCTTGTGTTGTTTTGTTTCACTTCTTTTTTTTCTTTTTTTCTTTTTTTTTTACCTCAGGAAAAAAAATTTGATTTCTTGATGTGTCTGATGATGTGTCTTACACTGAAGAGCCGGATGATTGTTTTGATGGAATTTCCTTTCACATTTTTTTTAAAAACACATTTAACAAATTCCCAAACTAGCCTTGTGAGTGCACACGGATGCAGTGGCTGTTACCCTCTGTTATCAAAACACATGCATATGGTGGCCCCTAGTGAAACAATGAGCAAACAGCATGAAGCAAGCAGGTGAAATCAACCTTTTATGCTACGGCTTGCATTAACAGCGCCCGTTTATGACTTTACCATCATATACACTGCAACTACTGCCTTATAATATATAAGAGGAGTCGTGATGTAATAAACGTGCACGCGGACTCAAAGGAAACTACAAGTCTTTACTTAACGGATGGTTTCCTTTTATACAACTCTGGTTGGGGTTTGCATATAAGTCAGATCACAGTTTTTCTTCAATGCTTTCCTTGAGCCATAACCTAACTGAGTAACCGCAGCTTGATGCGAGTCTTCCTGTAAGACTGAATTTGATTGTAAGGATTTTCTTTCACTCCTAAGCCACCGGTTAGCGGCTTAGCATCATGTTTGTAGGACTATTATTAATAAAGCAATATATATTGTATATTTATATATTATGAGTAGGTGAGGTCAGCTGGTGTAAGGACACTTGAGGCTTGAAAAGAGTTTCTATCTTTGTAATTTTTCAGCTCACAGTGTTTTCGCTTTATTTTTTTCTGAACTGTCCGATGGATTGTTCCATTTTAAAGTTTTGTCACTGACTCTTTATGAGATGAGTTGCTACGCTAAATGTTAAGGGATTCAATGATATGTTGCACGTAACGCAGCGGTAAGTAAATCGGCATATTCTTATGCCACCTGAGAAGGTCTGGATGCAACCTGAGTGAAGTACACTTTTTCTTTCTTTTGTTTTCTTTTGTTTTGTTTTTTAGCAAAGAAATGCGAACATGACAAGGGTTTCCATTCACCTCTTAGCTGGGAAGCCATTAGCATGACCGTGTGCACTATTCTTCCTCAAGTTTTATGAGATAGTCGGTGATATAAGTGCAAAGCTGTCTTGTCCAAAACAGTTTCTCTGACAGGGAAAACTGAGCTTTAGACTGTTAGACTCCATGAGTTAATCACTGCACCTCCTATCCAGGTAGATTCAACTCTCCATCCACCTGTAATCATAAGTTTAATAGATTTCACAGCAGATGATCCATGCTTTTTATGTAACATCAAAATACTGGCTGCTGTACGCATCTTTGCTACAGTTCTTACAACTCAGAGACTGACGACTTGTTTGTCTGCCTTGAGGGAAAACGCTAATGAGCCAAAGAGGCCCACCACTGAAATTAGCACAAAGACAAACGGTGCGACGCCTAACGAAGATGTCTTTCTTTCAACGAAATCTTCACTGCCTCAGAGCATAGCATACTATATCTCCCATCATGCAAACAAACGGTAATGATCTGCACACATCCGCAGAGAACGTCTTCCATCTTTCAAAACACTCATGTGACTCTAATCCTCATATCGGTCACATAACAGCAGCATCTCTGTCAGTTTTACTCTTCCAGGTCTTTGTGGTGACTCCTGGTTGATTTTCCGACTTACAGAAGCATTTTCAGGGCACCGTGAAGCATCTCGTTTGATGTGTTATGTGGTTTCTAGCAATAATACCCAACATGCAAAACAGAGAGATGTTGCTCTGGGTTGTTATTTGCTAATGACTGATTACCGCATATACTGTGTTTGCTTCCTACAGTGATTTACTGTACCCATAACCCAAATAAATTGGAAGGTTGTCGAGTCTGCTTCCTGCTTTGTCAATAAAGTGATTAAATTATTTTGTATTCATGTATTATTATAGTTTCCTTTGATGTGGGAATGAGCATCAATGGGTCTGTTACACGGTAAAATATTACTATTAAAATATGTGATTAGTTTCTGTCTCTAAACAATGTGGTAAAACCATCAACCCGTCTCTGCTGCTTATCCTTTTCAGAATTGAATTCAGGTTGATTTCGCTGAATGCTCAGAAAGCATGCAGGCTAGCCCAACTTTGCATGTGTCAGGTTATGTGTAACATATTGTCTGTGTCTGCATGGATGAGCAGGCAGTCTTCCTAGCAGAAAGCAGATACTTTGTGCACTTTATGTATGAAGAGACAGTGGCTGTGGCTCAGGAGGAAGAGTGGCTTGTCTACTAACCCGAAGGCCGATCCCTTAGCTCCCCTAGTTCACATGTCAAAGTATCCTTGGACTTATACTGAACCCCGAGTTGACCCTGACACATCATCGGACTGTGACTGTGTGAGATTGTTAGGTTAAAAGTGTGTAACAATAAAAAAAGATTTGCTTACATGAATGTGTGTGTGAACGCAGAATGAGATTTTCAGTAAGAAACAGCTCTGAGGGCTCAAACTGACTGGAAAAACATTTACTAATGCCAGTCCATTTACCTCCTAGGCGAGGTGTTTGGGGCATGTCCTACTGGGAGGTTGTCTCCGGGCAGACCAAGACCTCGCTGGAGTGATTATATCTCTTGACTGGGTTGGGAACAACTCAATGTCACTCAATGGATGAGCTTGAAAAGGTGGCTGGGGTGAGAGGGTTCTCTGCTTAGACTGCTGTCTTTGCGACTCAAACCTGGAAAAGTAATAGAGGATGGATGGATGGATGGATGGATGGATGGATGGATGGATGGATGGATGGATGGATAGATAGATAGATGAATCTCAGTGAGCTGCTGGAAGTGAGGAGCTAGTGTGAGTGACGCAAGCTCATGTGTCTGTGTCAAACTGTTAAAGTTCAGCGAAATCTACCTGAATTCACTTCTGTTTTATTGGTGAAGCACCAACAACAGGTGCCTCAGGGCACCTTACTTTCATCAGCATTGACCTTTCAGCAGAAGAGATAAAATCCAATGAGTCCCTTTAATCCAGCACCTGAGGACAGATGGGAGATTTAAAAAAGCCCATTTATTTTAACGGAAACAAACCTGGTGGAGAGCGGCTATGTGCCTCGACCAGTTGACTAAGGGTAAAGTGAAAAGAAGGGGATGTAAACAAAAGAAGTATAACATTAAACACTGCGTAGGTTGGAGGGCTTAGAAACGTGTGGTAGGGGAGGCAGATTTACCTTCAGAGAGGTATCTGTCTGGAGAGATTAGAGGAGATGAGAAAGGTGCTCACTCCATCAAATTCAAATTTTATTTGTCACATACACAGTCATACACAGTACGATATGTAGTGAAATGCTTGGGAGGTCCTCCAGTAGCATGGGGCTATGGTTATGTAATCCAGTTCAAACTACAAGAGTAATTAAAAGGTTTTGAAGTCTAATTTAAAAAGCAGAGAAACGCCTGTCTATTCAAACCAAACTGAGCTTGTAACTGCGGTTTAATAACTGACAATTCTTTGCAGAATTGTTATAATTCAGCCACATTGGAGAGTTTTCTAGCTTGAAAAACCTCCAATGCCTGTTTAAAGTTATGGCAAAGCATCTCAAACAGATCTAGCTCCAGACTTAGAGTAGGCCACTTCAAAACCTTCATCATTTTGTTTTAAGCTATTCAGACGTGTACTGGCTGGTGTGTTTCAGATCATTTTCTTGCTAGATAACCCAAGTGTGCTTCAGCTTCAGGGCACAAACTGATAGATGGACATTCTCCTTCAGGATTTAGGAGCAGAATTCATGGTTCTATTAATTATGGCAAGTCAATCAGGTGCTGAAGAAGCAAAGCTGACCTAGACCGTCAGACTACTACCACCACGTTTGACTGTTGGTATGGTGCTCTTTTTATGAAATGCTGTGTTAGTTTTACATCAGATTTAATGGACTCAAAGCTTCCAGAAAGTTCTGCTTTTGTCTCATCAGTCCACAGAGTATTTTCCCAAAAGTCTTAGTGATCATCAAGATGTTTTTTGGCAAATGCGAGATTAGCCTTTTTGTTCTTTTTGATCAGCAGTGGTTTTCTCCTTCGAACTCTCCCATGGATGCCATTTTTGCCTCTTTCATATTATTGAATCATGATCTCAGCCCTTAACTGAGGTCTGCAGTTTTTAGATGTTTTTCTGGGTTCTTCTATTACCTCCTGAATCAGTTGTTGGAGTAACTTTGGTAGGTTGTCCACTCCTGGGAAGGTACACCATTGTTCCACGTTTATCCATTTGCGGATAATGGCTCTCATCATCAAGTTTGCTGGAATCCCAAAGCCTTAGAAAAGGCTTTGTAATGCCTTTCCAGATTGATTGATGTCAATGACTTTGGTTCTCAGCTGTTGTTTATTTAGATCATGGGATAATATGTTTTGAGACTATTTCGAGTCTTGATTCAACAGTTCTGACAATAATGAGTACAATGACTGGCTACCGACATTGAACTTATTTTTCCACAAAACTTAATCACAGCTAATTTATAATTTTTCTTTTTTGCATCAGGGCAGGAAGGTTTGTACAGCTTTTTAATTTTAACCCTTAAAAATTAAATATTCATTTGAAAACTGCATGTTATATTTACTTAAGCTATCTTTCTCTAATATTGAACTTTGTTTGATGACACATTTAAGTATGAAAAATATGCAAAAATAATGTAATCCACCAGTTTTACCCTCAGCATTCTAGCAGATGTGCCTACAGTATCAATTTGAAAATCTTAGATTACATCCTTCTTGAGTCACAAGATTTTCATAAAAGTTGACGTCTGACAGGTTTACAGCAGAGAGGTCAAACAAAAATTAGGAGAGGGTGAAATATTCGTTTTACAGCACCTAATCCAAATAACTATTAAAATTGTTATTTCAGCTATTGTTCTATTTTCTGACCATTTTGAGGGGATTTTGTGTGAAGGCTTTGCAAAGTACAGCCAATAAAAAATGTGGAAGAATGCCTCAAGATATAAAATGCTATGCACTGCCACATAAGAAGAAACACCGGGTCATTAATGTGATTAGGGTTTTAAATGCTCGTGTTTTCCTCTCTCCATCCATGTGTCCATGTTTTCTTTTAGTGCAAGAGAAATGAAAAACTGGTGAGTGCGCAAGAATTGTCGCGTGTGGCTTTCCGTAGCGCCACGCGGAGTAGGTGGGGAGGTGCAACGCAAAGGCAAAGAGGTCAAGAGGAGGGGAGGAGAAAACCACGTGTGATCGGCACTATGTACAGCACTGTCCTTCCTCTGTAGACTTGTTTTTGTAAGCTTGTACCCCTCGTATGTCGCCAGCTAGCTCGTGACAGCCAGAGAAGAAGCTGTAGTTTGCCTTTCATTTACAGAGACACACAAATATTCGAGCAAAGCTGCTGGGGGATTTCTGTCACAGAAACACACTGACTGCCGACCATGGTGAGCAAGACAGATGACATCCCGGCGTCAGTGCCTAACTGCAATCCGGCAGATCCCGCGGATGGAGCCCAGGATGGTAAAGGAGCAGGAAAGGCACCTCTAAAAGAGTCCTGTGGTTGTGGTAAGTCCGCTGCAGACACCACTGCTCTCATCGTGCATGCAGAATCAACATACATACAGCATGACTGAATGTCTGCTTTACTGAAGCTGTGCAGCATGCACCAAATGTGGTGACTTTCACCTCCATGCTGCGCTGTGTGACTTAAAGGTCCTCAGACCGAGCGTAGTGCTGCTGCTTTACCCCTCCATCTCTGGAAGTTTGAAGGTTCCACCTTGCACCCACCTGCTAACCAACTGTCCGGTGTTAATGCTTTTTTTTCACTCGACTGGGACCGCTGCTATATTCACAGCTGGCTCGGACTTCTGCCTCACACTGCAAGCTGCTCAGGCTAACCTAAACACATTGGCCGGTAATGCTAGCATTATCTTTAGCGTGTCCCATTCAGCGTGAAGCTAGTTAGCGCCCCGGTTAGCTAGCTAGCTAGCTAACTAGCACACAGGCGCTCCTGTCGCTGTCAAAGCTGTCTCGTGCCTTAAAACCAAACGTGATCACGGGGAGCTATGGTTTTTCGAGTAAAGCACGGGCCGCCTATGTAGCGCCTGTTTGTTCAGAGCACATAAAGCAGCAGTAGCTGCCGTAGCACAAACTCGCGCTGACGCACATGTTCGGTAACTGAAGGTCACCTTCAGTGGCGCTTCACACTGCTTACACGAACACGGGGGGGTCGCGCACATGCCTTCGTTTTTACTGGGGGTGGTATGTGTATCACACAGCTTGTGTAGCAGACATGTTCGTCGTTACCGAGCTATAAAAAAATACGCGTGAGGTGGCTGAATCGCGAGGTGGTTGGTGTTAGTCCTCTAACCGGCCCCATCTTCACCCCCCCCCGTCTTGATTAGATCGAGCGTTCCTCCTCGACCGGGAAGCGGAAGCTGGTTATAGCCGATAAGTCATGATGGTGGTGTGCGCACGGTGAGGGGGAAGGTTACTCTAATAATACGCGAGCTGGTGAGTAAAAGCTGTCAGGTGAAGGTTGTTTGGGAGCAGCGGCGGAGTGCTGTGGGTGCAGGCGGGGTTAGATTTAATGCAAGGGCTGTCACCTGGTGAAGTTTGACTCCCACAGCTCTGAAGTTCATTGCAGCCTGCCCGGACCTTGAAATGTCTCATTGCACAGTATCTGATTCCTCCAGCTGTCCGGAGTGAACCTTTGTCGGTTCGATGATGAAGAGCTGTGGTTTTGTGTGTGTGTCACTCATTATAAAATCCCACATGGAACTGCATTTCAGACGTAAACAGTGTATTAAACCATAGTTTTGAGTCATTGGGAGGGATGGGATTAGAAATGAGTTGTGGTTTTTCAGCTTGATGTTAGAGAGGCAAGAAACTGAGATGATTTTGACATGTGCGGAGGAAGAGGAATGGATGTTAAAGATTGAGCTGCCAGGCATCCTCTCGTGTAATTAAAGCTTTCCTATTTCCAGTCGTTTAGTGTTTATTGGAGCCTGGGTGTCACATGGGCTTCATGAACATAGCAGTACAGCTCCAAGCTTTCTCCCTTCTTGGGGAAGTTGTGTCAGCACATATCTGTACTGTTGGCAGCACGTGTTGCAGAGTAGCATCACAGCTGATGGCACATGGACTTTTAGTCCAGCTGTATTTTAAGCTTGTGATTTTCTTCTTTCCAGTATAACTGTAGCAGGTTCATATGTTTGTAGATGTTCTTGGAAAGCTATATCTGCTTCAGCCCCAGAAATCCAGCATTAACCAAGCAGTGTGACTTCACATGTCAGCACTTGAAGCATTTTTAATTTAAAATTACATTTTACATCCCAAACCACTCATGGACTAATCAAGAATCAATAGCAAATGTAATCACTGGGCAATGGTGACGAGGTTGATGCGTCTCAGTGAGTAGTTGTAACTAGACATACTAACAGCACGTGGCTGAGCAGACAGGTCGAGGTGAGGGTCACTCTGTGGCTTTAAGGAGCTTAATGCTCCTGTGGGTGGAAGAGTGCCCTTGTTAATCCCAGCAATCACTGACACCCTGCCTCGATTGCTCATCTCTCTTGGCATCTTCCACACCTCTGCTGTTTGTCTCGTTGTCTTTGTAGTTTGTGGCTCAGAGTTGAATGGATTTATTTATTTTTTGTCTCTACGGATATGTATATGTATAATTTCATTAAAAAAAACAGACATTTATTGGAGCTATGGCAGAAATATGTCATTGTTTGCCGGAAGGATTTTGATTTCAGTGATCATGTTATGAGTTGGACTCATGGATCCTGTTTGTGACTCAAGCTGCCCCCTCTCAAGCCTGCACCACAAAAAAAAGTCTCTAGCATCATTCAATGCTCGGAGAACAAATTACAACAACGGAGAATCTGCTGGCAGACTTTTAGATTTCAGTCTTTGTGTGGCCGTCCACCAGAAGGATGCCACCTTGTGGTCCATCAAACTCGATTACAGAGGGGCCTTGTGTGCTAGGTGGTGTTTTCGGTGTTGACAGGCTGGTTAATGTTGCCATGGTGATGGTGTCAAGGGCTGCGGAGTGGCTAGATGGCCGCTTGGCTGGCTTTATTGTTTATCAGGAGAAGTAGGCTAATGGAGTAAACAAGAGAGTGCAGTTCAGCACTGAGCTTTAAGTTTGAATCATTTTCAGTTTGATCTTCAGTTGTTTGTTAGTATTTGAATGTATCTAATAATTTTTTTTCTTTAAAAAAAACAAAAAAACAAATCAAAATCCTTGATCTTCATTCCTTACCGAGGACTTGGGCGTTGTACCAGTCTGAGCATTTGCTACAGTGCTTAATGGCCGCTCCTATACATGGTTTTTAATCACTGCTTTTAATTATTTGACTCTGATTAGAGCGGTTTGATTGTTCCACTGAAACGTGCCTTTCAATTACTGGTCAAGTTAGCACTGTCTAATTAGATGGGATGATACTTAATGCCAAAAGAGAAATCACAGCATTTATTTTAGGTAAACAGATATGTTTAGAGGTTTATTATAAAGTAACACATCATTACACTGTAAAACTCATATTTTGTCATATATTTCTCCACAAATAGAGCACGAATTTACAGTTTAGCTGATGAAGTAATACTAGAAGAATTAGAAGTGTCTGATTTCAGCCAGTGAATGAGACATTTTATCATACTTGTATTAAATTAAGTAGTCATTCTCAAGGATTTCTGGCAGACTTTCTGATGTACACCCTGAGTGGAAAATTGACCCACTTCATTAGGTACTTCTCCTGCATTTGGGAATCTATGCACTTATAACCAGGTAGTGCATCTCTATTTCTACACTGAAGTAAAGCAGCATGCAACATTTCCTCTTCACTGTTTTAACATTGCTTCTCCCGCCTCCTTTTGCCTCATTACCTACTTTCTGATGAACTTTAATCCCTCTACTGTAGAGAATAGGTCTGTTTTGCAATGCTTTGTCCACTGGAAAACCTCATCATTAGTCTTATCACTTATAGTGCTTTGTACTGTTGGGTTTCTGCGATGATGAATCTGATATCTACAGACTTAATCTAGCCAATTGCACGCCAACTCCCCTCTTTGTTTCTTATGAATTAATCAAAACGAAATGATCAGAGACAGCCGTTAATGTCTGTAGATCTTCTTTTGGTTAATGAAACATTAGAAAATCTGTAAAGTGCCTCTTATCACAGTCTCTCAGCTTCAGGATCCAGAGATAACCTCTTCAAGTGACTTGTTTTGTATCACTAACCATTCATTACCTGAAGATATTTAATTTAATTTAATTTAAAATGAGGCCGCAAATCAAATTTTAAGAAGCTGGACTTAAGAAGTGCAGTATTGGCCTAATACTTCGTGTTATTTCCTTCCTATCTGGTCTGTAATATTTCAGAAGTTAGTCATCATCATGTCACTTGTGTGAGCCAAAATAGAGCTCAACTCGGAGATGAAATGTTTCTGCACAGATCTCTCATTCTTTCCGACATTGTTGGCCCGCATGCTCACTCGCCCTGAAGCAGTTATGTTTGTTATTCAGAGCGTGGCCTGTTGTTCCTCTCCCATGCGCTTCCTCCACCTCTCCCCCACCGTCTCACTGCGTTCATTCCCCACCCGGGGTCGCGGTCCAGGTCCAGCCCCTCCCCTCCCTCTGGCCCCTTCTCTCCGAGTAACCCTGACATCGCGTTACCCTTGACAGGCAGCAAGGACGCGCTGGCTGGCAGCAGTTGTAGGTCAGTGAGAGAAAACATTTGCCTGATGTCCTTGCAGTGGGCCCCTGTTCCTTTGAATTAATTTAGCTCATTTTTATTCATGTCATTTTCCTCTCACCTTAACTGTTACTCAAGAAAATAATATCCATCCGTCGTCTGTATAATGAGAGGAGCTGTCAGACTTTTCTCAGCTGGCCTATTTTACAGAGAATTTACAGAGAATAATTTTGGTGGCTCTGATTTCTATAAAAAGGTAAAGCAACTGCTGGATTATTTGTCACAGTGCTGGTATAAGCAGATATCCATGTAAGTGACCCATAATTCCCTCTCGTGAATGGTGAAATCCTCCCTCGAGGCCTCCTGGCTGAGTTCCCTGCAGTGTTGCAACGGTGTAGGTTTCAGCAGGTCACTGCTGGAAACCAAGCGTTTTCTTTTCTAGACGAAGCTGGTTACTTATTGTCAAATTTCAGATAAATCATTAGTGACTCAAGTCAGTTATGATTGTCAGCATGGTCTTTTCAGTACTGAATCATATCTGTTATTAACCTCTGTCTCTCTTCCACAGCATGTCTTTTATCCTGTCTTCCTTCTCTCACCCCAACCGGTCGCAGCAGATGGCCGCCCCTCCCTGAGCCTGGTTCTGCCGGAGGTTTCTTCCTGTTAAAAGGGAGTTTTTCCTTCCCACTGTTGCCAAAGTGCTTGCTCATAGGGGGTCATATGATTGTTGGGTTTTTCTCTGTATCTATGAAGCGCCTTGAGGCGACTTATGTTGTGATTTGGCGCTATATAAATAAAATTGAATTGAATACTGTTGATGTTTGAATAAAAAGAGAGATCTGAGTGTTGAGAAGATCCCTCACGCTAATCCTCTAGTCTTTGTCGACTTCAGGGAAGCAAAACCACAGCATTGTCATGGTATAGCTGAGCTTTGTTGGCTTTGCTCAACCGTAAATAAATATTTTATAAGGATATCGGTAAGATCATCTGGGCCTGGAGGATTGCCTTCCTTATTTGTGACCTGGCTGCTTATGTGGAAGAAAAGTGAGTTAGTGTTGACATGATGGCTGAGTCACTGATGGAGGTGCATTGTCTAAATTATGCTGTAAACAAATAAATTATAGCATAAATACAGTGTTACCCAGCAAATGGCCTCGAGGCTTTGACAGGAACGCTCCTGCATGTGGTGCAGTTGACACAATAACTACATAGTGTGGTGGTTAACGCATTCACTTGACAAGTGAAGGGTCACTGTTTTGATTCCAGCTGGAATTCGGATGCGAAGGGCCACAGTGAACCCTTGTGACAAGGTAGGACCCAGCAGTAGCTTTATTATTATTATTATTATTATTGATGTGGAAGAAAGGGCAAATACACGTCTTTGTTTCATTTGAATATACTTATCCAGTTTACACAGTTTAGCATCACCAGACAGCTGTAGTACCATATGTCTGTAACTACATATAAATTCCTGTGTCATGCTGTTTGGCAAGGTGAGCTCACTTGGAGAGTGCATAACAATTGTCCCTTTGTCCTTTCAGTGTTAGCAGAATTAGCCTGTAGTGTAGTCTGTGGTGGCATTTTAGCATGTTAGCTTGATTGAGATTGTTACTGGAACAAAACAATAACCAGAAATGCTATATTCTGTTTTAGTGATTTTTTTTTTTTCAGAAGGTTGAGTTATTAAGTCAAACTTCTTCACTTGAAATGTTGACTTATGATGGAAAATATTTTTCCCCCTTTCATTAGTGGAAACAAGACTCTAACAGTTCTGAAACCGAGACAGTGCTTCTGTCCAGCCTCCTCATGACTATTGAAAAGATTGGAACTGGTTTTTACAAGTTCCCAAACAGAAAAACAGTTTTCAATTAGTCATAAGAAATTCAAAGGAAGAATGTGCTAATACTCGGTGTGCTTACGGCTGCATTTTGTCACCAGTACGCCAAATGTCACTTTTTGGGTTACAACATTTATTTTACAATATTTTCTGTTTAAGATCACACTTGTATTAAAGTGGAAAATTCAGAAAGCGATGATCAACTTTTTTTTTTTTTTTGTTCTTTTTTTTTTTTTGTAAATGGTTTATCCAACTACCAATTGAGTTCAATTCAATTTTTTCTTTCTATAACAACAGCAGTTGCTTTGAGGACATTTATATTTTAAGGGGCATAATACAGACACAACACCAACAATCAGGCAAAGCCCTGTGAGCAAGCACTTGGTGACAGTGGGAAAGAAAAACCCCATTTGAACAGGAAGAAACCTCCAGCAGAATCAGCCTCAGGGAGGGGCAGACGCAGGTTGAGGGTGAGAGGAGAACAACAAGTTAATAAATTGTCGTTTCTGACAAAGGGAGTTGGTTGTGTTATTTTAAATAAAGCCTTAAGTAGTTGAATATTTTATTAGTAGATATGTCTTGTGACTTAACATAAAGCTTGATCTATGCACTTTTTTTCATTAAAGGGCACAGTGCAGATACAGCCATGGTAAATGGTGACAGGGCTCATGAGCATACGGAGGAGACGGACTCAAAGCAGGATGGGAATGGCGAGGCAGACGGAGGGGAGGAGTCTAACGAACAGGAAGTGATAGTGATCCAGGACACAGGCTTCACTGTAAAGATCCAGGCTCCGGGGACAGAGCCATTTGACCTGCAGGTGAGGATAAGCTGCAGTTCTTTAAGAAAACTACAGGACTTTCAAGTCATGTCTGTGATGATGTAGTTTGTAACGTGAACTAAATGTTGCTGCTCCTCCTCATTTCTGTGTCACTTCATTTCTTTAATTTCTTCCCCAACATCAGGTCTCCCCCCAGGAGATGGTGCAGGAAATCCACCAGGTTTTGATGGACCGTGAGGACACCTGCCACCGCACCTGCTTCTCTCTGCAGCTGGATGGAAATGTGCTGGACAACTTTGCCGAGCTCAAGTCTATCGAGGGTCTGCAGGAGGGATCGGTGCTCAAAGTGGTGGAAGGTAAGATTCTGAAGCACCAGGGCTTGTCGTGCAAAGTTTGGACGGACTTCCTGAGAGCTGTTGTCCATTTACTTAGAAGGGCACTACATTCATGGCTATCTGTTTAAGAGAGAATCATGATGACCAAGCACTTTGGTGACGGTGGGAAGGAAAAACTAACAGGAAGAAACCTCCAGGAGATTATACACGTGGGTCTGCTAAGGGTTCGACTTATGTAATGGAAAAGGTGTTTCTAAAATCGGTAATCGCATTCAATTCTAATCATCACATCCATCCATACATACATATTGTCGCACTTGTCAGGGGTCCGGCTAAATACAAGACGTTAACATAAAGCTAGCGTTAAATGACCCAGAGTGACGCTCAGGCCAATGTTTGAGTTTTGCAGTTAACAAAAGTAGAGATGAACATGCTCCTATTAGTGTTTAAACTCAGCCTCAAAAGCCAAACTGAAGTATTCCCCGTCAGTGACGCTGTATCTGAGGAATATGTTTCAGAGTGTGTCTGTTACCTATGCTGAAGCAGTGCAAAAATAGTCGACTTGATGATAATGTACAGAACTGGCTGGCAGGAGGCTACTTGTGTGATCTTTGCAGACACAAGTGAAATTCTTCTGTGGGCTGGTGTTCCTTAAGTTATTGGAAAAGACACTTGTGCTGATATGAGCGAAAATGCTCTTGTGTTAACCACTTAATTTGGGGGACAAATTGATTTGTTGCTTAAAAACCAAAAAGTTGTGAGTAATGCAAAATTTTGAGTAGCGTCTAGCACTCATAATAGTTCAGTATACATGTTGCTTAGTTGGGTTTTAAACCACACTGTTTGTTTTGTTTCCCTCAGAGCCCTACACGGTGCGTGAAGCTCGAATCCATGTGCGTCACATCAGAGACCTGCTGAAGAGTCTGGACCCTTCTGACGCTTACAACGGAGTAGACTGCAACTCTCTCTCTTTCCTGAGCATCTTCACTGATGGAGATCTTGGAGGTATGACACTAAGGATCAACAGTTTCTTTAAAGACTGTGATTCCTGCTTACAGAGCTGGACCTTGTGTAGTTTAGTTGGACTTTGAGCACATTTGAGACAAACTCTGTTAAATTATTGATAAACCTTGTATTACACTGTTTTGAAGCGTGTGAGCGTAACAAAGAGCACGCGAGCTGAAATGCCCGTTTCTGAGATGGAATAAAATATGGAGACAAAATGAAGTTGAGGGCAGACCAGCAAGTTGGTGCACGGGTTAAAATCACACAAGGCAAACACGTTTACCATGAATATGACCTAAAACTCTTTTCAATCCTATCACCTTGCTGGTTTTCTGTCATTCAGACAAGTTGGGTTTATTTTTCTGGGAGCCTTAATGAAAGAGACACTCTCTTGCGAAGTATTTGCACTGAGAGACAGACACGCGGTTTTCTTCTCTCAGTGATGGATTTTAAAACCTACTTTGCAGTCGGGAGATAAATGAATGACTGTTGTTGGCATTAGGAGGTTTCCCCCCTGCTTCTCAGTGAAATCGCCTTTTAAACTGCTTGTATATTATTCATACGTAAGAGCTGAGGATTAAATTGTTTCAGGGGATTTTTAAGAAGGGAGTAAAATGTTTCCCAGCTCTGGAATTTTCACCATGCACTGCTGCAGCCTTTGCAGTAATCGAACAGCATGCAGCTTAGAAATGAAAAGCAGAAAATCTAAGACTCCCTTCTCAGTCAATGTGTTTGTTCAGACATGTCAAACTTGATCTTAAGTGGGTTGGACGAGTGAAAGTTCCCTTTCTCTCAGTCTAAAGAAGTTTTACTACACATTTAATCTCAAAGATGTGAGGAAAAGGTTAAGGTTTTCTGCATAATGAAGAAATGCTGCTGCAGTAAATGAAAGAAACCTGTCAGCGTGACAGAAAAAGTTCCAGTAGCCGTCCATTGGGATTGAGTCTTTGCCGAGCCGATTCTGAACCCCGGGCCTTATGTTTTACACCCTTGTGTTAAGCGATCAACAGATGGTTTTAAGAGTGACTGAATAAGGTTTATGTGTTCACATTAGTCCTGTGTGTGTGCATGCATGCTGTTTTATTCAATAGAAATCCACCAATTTTCCTTTCTTGCTTCTTCCTTTGCTTATAGAAACTGGAAAGCGGAAGAAAAAGGGCAGCGAGATGGAGCAGATAGACTGCACCCCTCCAGAGCACATCCTGCCCGGCAGTAAAGAGCGCCCCCTTGTGCCCCTCCAGCCACAGAATAAGGACTGGAAGGTGAGGAAGGCATTTAGGGACTTAAATGGGGAAAGTAAGTTTGGCTTTTAAACTTGAGATTCATCTTCTTATTTTACGTGCTCCACAGCCCATGCAGTGCCTGAAGGTCTTGACCATGAGCGGGTGGAACCCTCCACCTGGAAACAGGAAGATGCACGGCGACCTCATGTACCTGTACATTGTGACTGTGGAGGAGCGCCATGTCAGCGTCACTGCCTCAACACGCGGCTTCTACCTCAACCAGTCAGTTGATGTTTGGGCCTGGTGTCTCCTTACAAGCTCTGTGTTCTTACTGCAGCTGACTCTCTGCCGTTAAAGTGCAGTTTAAGCATTTGGCAGCACCGTTTCTGCAGCGTGTATTTATAATTCAAGATGCCATTAGGTGAAGACATTTGGCAGCAGTTAGTCTGCAATTAGGTGATGTAAGAAGCGATGCTGTGAGTCAGCTCATTATAGTTGGCACATTTTCTCCTGTAGTGTTTTTCCTTAAAATAGAACAGGAAATGTTGATGCAGTTTGTTTAGGTGGACAGCTAGGAAACATGTTGCATTGTTAGGATGAAGATTATTTTTTTTCTTTTTTTATGTTTTCTTTTTTCCCCCCTTCCAGCTGTTTGCTCAGTCATAAGCTTGCTTTCATGTATTAGTGCTTTGTAGTGTGGCGGGAATATTTAACAGCAAGTTTGTTTCTTTTTCGTATTTTTATATAGATGCTTTTTCTCCATTTAGCAGGCTGCAGATGATGAACTCGGCTATATTAGTGTGAACCATGATGATAATGTGCTTGTGTGCTTTTCAGGTCTACTACCTACACCTTCAACCCCAAACCAGCTAATCCCAGCTTCTTGAGCCACTCTCTAGTTGAGCTGCTGAGCCAGATCAGCCCTGCCTTCAAGAAGAACTTCACCGCCCTGCAAAAGAAAAGGTGAAAACATTTCATTCTTTTACTTACCGTATTTTCCGGACTACAAAGCGCACCCGGAAATTAGCCGCACAAGCTAAGATCAGGGAAAAATCCTGTTTTCTACATACAATTGTCAGGAAAGAGACGGCTGTTTGGAGACACACCCCTTTTATTAATATTTTGAAAAACAAGTTATGGGTACATATTTGCATAACTTTTTAGGTATATGTACAAGTAGCGGTAATTACAAGTACGAAACATGTACTGTGCTTCATAAATGAGTAACAAATGTAGTACATAACAATAACCTGCAGCACACCAGAAAAATAGATTTGGACTACCTTCTAGGCTCAGGTGCAGTGACACAGCTTTAACAAGAAGAAAAGTCAGTCATTCACCACCATCTTTCTCTTCTTCCTGCGCACTAAAACCACCAAAGTCCTCTTCTCCAGTGTCGGAAACGAACAGGCTCAGGATGGCTTCGTCATCCACTCTCAGCTTCTCTCCTTCGTTGTCACTTTCAAAACCAAAGAAATCCTCGTTGTCAGTGTCGGAGTCGAACACCCTCAGAAGGGCCGTGGTGGTGTCCTCCTCTCCACCGTGCAGCAGTCCAGCCCTTCGATATCCGTTGGTGATCGTGGATGTTTTCACACTTTTCCACGCTGTCAGATTCCACCGGTGGAGTTGGGCATAACATTGTACGGCACTACGTTGCCTGGCGGACGGACATGTGACTAACATACCACTCTTGAACCCCGATACTATGTGTCTGATCACATACGCTTCCGCCAGGCAACGTAGTGCCGTACAACAGCGGAACAAACAAAACAAATCGTCTTACGATATCACAAAAATCATGGACAATCCATAGAAAAGCCGCACCTGACTAAAAGCCGCAGGGTTCAAAGCTTGTGCAAAAGTAGCGGCTTATAGCCCGACAATTACGGTAATTTGTTGTTCTCACTTGCCTTGATGCTGATTGTGAGCTGTTTTTTTTGTGTTTTTGTTTTTGTTTTTTTTGTCCCCTCCAAAGGAACAAAAGTCATTTTTTTGACCTCTACTTACTTTGCACTTTTTTTCTTTCACATTCGGGGACAGCAGTTGAATATCTTATAACAAATGAGTCTTTGCAAATAAAAGTTGTATATCAAGACTGTGATTTTCATCAGTTATTAGTTTTAGGACCCTCTCACAGCAAGCGAAAAATGATATTTGCAGCTAAATTATGAACCATGGAAATTATGGTTTCTCTTTTACTGCTGCAGAGTCCAGAGACACCCGTTTGAGAGGATAGCCACGCCTTTCCAAGTATACAGCTGGACTGCTCCGCAAGTAGACCATGCAATGGACTGTGTTCGAGCTGAGGACGCATACACCTCCCGCCTGGGTTATGAGGAGCACATCCCTGGACAGGTCAAGGCGCTGAATCCAGCAGCAGATCATCAAGAGGAATGATTTCAAGTTTTTTCCAATATTAATTTTCTTGTTGTGCATCTAGACCAGAGATTGGAACGAAGAGCTGCAGACTACCAGAGAGCTGCCCCGGAAGAACCTGCCTGAGCGGCTGCTAAGGGAGAGGGCTATATTCAAGGTTTAAAGTCTTACTTTCTGCAGCTCTTTAATTAGCCACCTTGTTGCTTATGCTGATGCTAATTTAATGTGAAACCTTTTACTTTCTGCAGGTCCACAGTGACTTTGCGGCAGCTGCCACTCGAGGTGCCATGGCTGTAATTGATGGCAACGTAATGGCCATCAACCCTGGTGAAGAAACTCGGATGCAGATGTTCATCTGGAACAACATCTTTTTCAGTCTGGGCTTCGATGTGCGGGACCACTATCGTGAGCTGGGGGGCGATGCGGCCGCCCACGCTGCACCCACCAATGACTTGAACGGAGTACGAGCTTACAGCGGGGTGGATGTGGAAGGTCTTTACACTCTGGGAACTGTAGTGGTGGACTACAGAGGCTACCGTGTCACCGCCCAGTCCATCATCCCAGGTATCCTGGAGCGTGAGCAGGAGCAGAGCGTCATCTACGGCTCCATTGACTTTGGGAAGACTGTTGTGTCTCACGGCAAATACCTGGAACTGCTGGAAAAGACCAGTAGGCCACTAAAGGTAAGAAGCATGACTGTGTGACAATAATAAAGCTGACTCGTGTCTACATACAGATACTGTGTATGTTTTGTACGTTAAATTTTAGATCCAGCGGCACAGCGTGCTGAATGAGAAGAATGACACGGTGGAGCTGTGCTCCTCTGTCGAATGCAAAGGCATCATCGGGAATGACGGCAGACACTATATTCTCGACCTCCTTCGCACCTTCCCCCCTGACCTCAACTTCCTGCCTGTGGATGGAGTGGAGCTGTCTCCAGAGTGCCAGCGTCTAGGCTTCCCCCGCCAGCACCGCCATCGCCTGGCCTGTCTACGCCAAGAGCTCATCGAAGCCTTTGTTGAGCACAGGTTTGTGTTGTTGTTGTGCAGCAATAATGAGCTGTTTTCTAGAAACCTGTGCTGATTACATAGAAGTGACTTTGCTACTGTTTCTTGTCTTCCTCTTCAGATATCTCCTGTTCATGAAGATGGCAGCGTTACAGCTGATGCAGCATAAAGCCAACAGGGACTCTATCAAGACTGACACACCCGCCATCACAGAAACCTCAGAAACACTCGCAGAGAGCAAAGCCGACACAACCCAGACAGACACAGCACAGACCAATGCCACAGATTCCTCTAAAGCAACAGACATCTCCACAGATAGCACTAGCCAGACAGACAATGCTTCCACTGCTGCCTCACAAACAGGAACTGACAGCGAAGAGAACTCCTCGAAGCCCACAACAAACGGGCCTGTAGACCCCACAGCCACCCAGAACGGGGAATGCAAGGGCCCATTGGAGGGTAAGGAGCTTGAGGAAAGTATTCCAGGATTAGCTCAGGCCAAAGAGCTAGCGGAGACCTTAGTTGCCGAAGATGGATCTAGTATTGGTACGTTTAGACCCACCCCCCCAAAAATTGGGGCCAGGACAATACAGAGAGAGCTACTCTGGTGGATAACGGCATAGAAAAAAGAAATGGATCAATAGAACTCTAAAATTACTGGATCATAGTGTTTTCTTTCCACCTGAGTAGCTGTCCCCGTTCAGTCCTCAGCCTGCAGCAGGGAATAGTGCCCCCCCCCTCGAAACAACCCATTCCCAGCCTGTGATCCCTTTGCAGCAGGATTTGACCCAATAACTCCATAATCGGGTGCTGTGTTGATTAATCCAAAGGTGTTTTGAAATGCAGAAATAACCTTGTGGTGCGTGATTTGTGTAATCTGTGTGAGCCAATCATAGAGCGAGGGTTTGTGGTCCTGATCGAATGGTGGTGGGTGCTCTGCTGAGACCAGGGTGAAATAAACTGGACTGCTGTTGTGTATTGATGTGTGAACAGATAGTTTGAGGTGAAAGAACAGTTCAGATCAGAACTGATCTTTACACATTTTGACATGACCTGTCTGACGTAATCACCTTTAACATTTCTGTATTTTTTATTTGTTTTTGTTTTTTTGTTTTTTGTCTTTGGTCCCAAACACAAACAGACCCCAAAAGCCGTGAAGTGGTCCTGAATGCCTGTAAGGCAGTGGGCTCCATCAGCGACACAGCTTTCGATATCCGCTTCAACCCTGATATCTTCTCCCCAGGTAACATGATGATTCCTATTATATGGGTTATTAGAAACAAATAGCTGGGAAGTCAGAAATGATCTTTTCCATGAACATTGTGTGAAGCTTTTAAGTTTTGGAAGTGGGAAACTAGAGTTGTAGAGACACTACCACATTTGATTCCCGATTACTTCAAAAGTGAATACAACAAAAAGCAATGATTGTGTTTGTGGTGTTGAACCAGGAGTACGGTTCCCTGAAGAGAGCGCAGACGACATCCAGAAGCAGAAGCAGCTACTCAAAGACGCAGCTGCCTTCCTGGTTTCCTGTCAGGTCCCAACACTGGTCAGTGACGCTTCTGCTCCCAAACATCCAGCTGAGTTGTCTTGGTGTGTGAAGAGTGTGGATTCAAATAGTTTTTGCCTTTTATTATAAGGACATCACGATCATGTTAAACTCCCCGATGAAGGCTTGTGTGTGGCTAAGGAAATGAAGGCCCAGGTAGTGTCTAACATGAAATGATTAAAGCATAATTGTGTTCTGCTTAAACTATTCACCAACTTTGTTTTTGCTTTTCCGGTGTATAAAACCTTTGCAGCTGGGAGACTCTTATAGAGAGAGTCAAATTAAGTTTTAATTGTAAACTACTTGGGGGGGAAAAAATTAAATTTCACGACTGCAGGGATCAGATTAGTAGGACCTCCTATATTTAGCTGCCATAGAAGATGTCACCACCTCGCACTACCCCAAAAGACTGCAAAACATCATCAGGACTGCTCTCAGTCCTGGTCATTGTATGAACTGTTACCCTTTGTCTGATGATAATTCAGAGCATGCGTTCAGATATGCTACTTCTGTTTTTGTGGAAATTTAAAGCATATTTATGGTATTTTATTAGTAGTTTTCTGCACTTAACTGTTTTTATATTGGACTTGTGCGCCTAATTTCATTGTTACAATGATAAGTCTGTTCGGTAAATGCTTGCACATCAAATTATCACGTAGGGTTGTCTGTGTCTGAGTTTAAAGCCATGTTTGTGTGTTTTCATAACCAGGTGAAGGACTGTTTGGACCACAGCGCTCTGCCCATGGATGGAGCCTCACTAACGGAGGCTTTGCACCAGAGAGGCATCAATGTTCGCTATTTGGGCACAGTCCTGGAATTTATGGAGAAGACTCCTGCCAAAGCCCAGCTGGAGCACATCTATGTGAGTCTGATTCCTCAAATCTGACCAATAGAATCAGCACACAGTTTAAATTTAAAAAAAGAAATAAAATTCTTCTTGTTTTTTTTTTTTTAGAGAATAGGAATAACTGAGCTGATCACCAGATGTGCAAAACATATATTCAAGACGTACCTCCAGGTTAGTTAAATTTAATGGTGCAACATTTTCTGCTCCCTTTTAAAGACATCAACGAACTGTTGTTTATTTTCATCTGTGCTTTTTTTCCTGCAGGGTGTAGAGCTGTCCGCACTCTCTGCTGCTGTGAGCCATTTCCTAAACTGCTTCCTGAGCTCCTTCCCAGACGCCGTTGCCCACCTGCCTCCCGATGAACTGGTGTCACGCCGCAAAAACCGCAAACGTCGCAACAGGGTCCCCGGCGGTGGCGACAACACGGCATGGGCCAGCCTGACACCGAGTGAACTGTGGAAGAACATTGCCTCTGAGGCCCAGAGCTATTATCACTTTACCCTACAGTGGTAAGGACCCCACCTGTTAAACTCAAGCAAATGTAGAGACTTTGTATGTATTTCTAAATAAAACCTATTTACTCATTGCACAGTGAAAGTGTCGACCAAGTTGTGGAGAAATTCGGCCTCCAGAAAATCACTCTGCTCAGAGAAATTTCAGTCAAAACTGGCATACAGGTAACTCATTTACTATGTAGTGACTGCACCCTCACTTTACCGAATGGTCATCACATCCTTTCTTAGACTTGTGTTTTATTTGACTTTTAGATCCTGATAAAGGAGTATAACTTCGACAGCCGCCATAAGCCTGCCTTCACAGAAGAGGACATCCTGAACATTTTCCCTGTGGTGAAACATGTAAACCCCAAAGCCACAGATGCCTTCCACTTCTTCCAGAGTGGGCAGGCCAAAGTGCAGCAAGGTGACGTTTGCATGCTCTAAAAAAAAAAGTTTTTTCAGAGCATTAACCCTTCTTCCTTTTGTACTAATATATCTAAATTAATCATTATACTGCCCTCAGGTTTCTTGAAGGAAGGATGTGAGCTGATCAACGAGGCTCTTAATCTCTTCAACAACGTGTACGGAGCCATGCACGTAGAGATCTGCTCCTGCCTGCGCCTGCTGGCGCGCCTTAATTACATCCTGGGAGATCACCCTGAGGTAGGCACAGATGTGCAATGCTTCCTTTTTTTTAATATATATATATAAGCTCATGCTGATTTTTTTTTGTGGTGCTGAATGGCTCTTTTTGGTTTTTTTAAATATTTATTTACCTGCAGGCTCTCAGCAATCAGCAAAAGGCTGTTCTGATGAGTGAAAGAGTCCTTGGCATCGAGCATCCCAACACAATTCAAGAATATGTAAGCTACCAGATGGAGGAGGAACTCATGTTTGTCATGTTGACCATGTTTAATATCCTTCTAAACTTGTTTGTTCCTTTCATTTGTCAGATGCACTTGGCCCTGTACTGCTTTGCCAACAACCAGCTTTCGACTGCTCTGAAGCTTCTGTACCGCGCTCGTTACCTCATGTTGTTGATTTGTGGGGAGGACCACCCTGAGATGGCTCTGCTGGACGTGAGTGCAGACTTCGCCTGCTGGCTTTAACGTTATTTCTCATAAGGTGGGGAAGAAGCAAAATTATTGAACTTTGTTCCTGACTTCCTCAGAGTAACATCGGGCTGGTGCTGCATGGAGTCATGGAGTACGATTTATCTCTGAGATTCCTGGAGAACGCTTTGACCATCAACACAAAGTACCATGGACCTCGGTCCCTCAAAGTAGCCCTCAGGTGGGTAGATTGATTTATTCATTCATATGCATTAGAATAAAAGTAGTAATGGCATGATGGTTTGTATTATAACTGCCTTATTGTTTTTCCAGTCATCATTTGGTTGCAAGAGTTTATGAGAGCAAGGCTGAGTTCCGCTCTGCACTACAGCACGAGAAGGAGGGTTACACCATTTATAAGAACCAGGTATGCTCCACAGCAGCTCATACACTTTAACTTTACCAGTTGTGATGAAGCAGTTTTTTTCTAATGTTTTTTTCCTCCTGTCAGATGGGCGAGGCCCATGAGAAGACCAAGGAGAGTTCTGAGTATCTGAAGTATCTCACGCAGCAGGCTGTAGCTCTGCAGAGAACCATGAATGAGATCTACAAAAATGGCTCTAACGCCAGCATTATGCCCCTTAAGGTAAATGTTCCAAGTCATTTTGTTTTTTTTTTTTTTGTGCTTCCAGCTGATTATGTTCAGTGCTGATGGCTTTTTTTCGTTCCCCCCTTTCCCCCCCTCTGATTTTCTAGTTCACTGCACCCAGCATGGCCACCATTCTGGACCAGCTCAACATCATCAATGGCATCATCTTTATACCTCTCAGGTAGACGCATAAAGGAGCATTACTGCTCTTTGTTGCTTGTATATGGGTTGGTAATCTCACAACATGCAGGAAGTCAGTGGCTTCCTCAGACATTAAACTGTGGAACTGAATAAATGGGGAAATTATTTGGTTATTAGCGTAACCCTGGTTCTCCGAGAGTGTTAAGATTGCATTTCCAATCTTTGCTTTAGTTAGGATTTTATAGAAATTTCACTCTTTTGGGTCACTATACTCACTTCCTATATTTGAATTAATCCTTCCCAGAAAATGGCTATTAGAGTACTGTGCAAAAGTCTTGAGCTACCCCTGATTGCTTTGTATTTTGCTTCCAGGGTGTCACACTTTCTAGTATTATTTTTAAAGTAGTCTTGAGCCATAGTTCTCCAATTTTTCCACAAATGCTTTGACTTAGGATAATAAAGTGTTAAACTACACAGGCTGTGTGGATGTATGTGTGCCTATACAACCATAAATCCTGCAGACAGAAATCTGTGTGCCTGTTCTGATATTGGACCACATCCTTTCTAGTAAATAATGACTTATAATTTAATTTCGTTCCACCTCATGTAAACATGTGATGCAAATGACAATAAAGCTCCTTGAATCCTTGAGATGAAGGTGTGGTTAGTGTGTAGCTCTGGGAGCATGTCTGTGACATGAATGGGGATAATTATAGGCTCAGGATTTCTTCTATCTTAGGGAGTTGTGTGTTGATTTTTCTTCTCTTTTTTTCAGCCCAAAGGATCTGGAGAACCTGAAGGCAGAGGTGCAGAGGCGGCAGCAGCTACAGGAGCTGGGAAAGAGCGAGGAGCCTGCTGAGGACCGCTCACTGGAATTGGAAGACAAAATTCCCATCGATTAATATTGAGTAGTGGCCAACACAGCTATTTTCTGCTATGGGAGAGAAAGACGGGCTGTGATGGATGAGTCACAAAGCCTGTGGACCCGAAAGCCGAGCAGTCTAAATCAACATAAATAAATGAGAAAAATATAAATAAATAAAAAAGAGGGAGGGGAGGGGTCAGGGTAGTCCAGACACAGACTGATGAACTGTAGGAGAAAGGAATACTGAGCAGGAATTTCCTACAAAGTAGGGATAGAGGGGAGGAGAAAGTACAAACCATGTAAAACCACAGTACCGTGCAATCTGAAAATCCCGAGAACCTGGTGATGAAGCCCTAGAGCGTGTTGGCTGTGTTAGAATTACGATGAATATGAAACGAGGGTTTCAGCCGGGGGCGGGAGACCAAGAATGACCATGACATTTTATACCAGAGCCTTATCCACTCTACCATAATCCCCCCCCACACACAAGCCATTCTTCTTCTCAGCTCAAACTTTCCACAGCACTGTTGGCCCAGGACCATATTCTGCCCCTGTCATTGCCTAAAGAGCCTCGAAGATCCTCGGGCAAGTAGCCACCCACTCGTGGTGGATCCTACCCTGTCCTTGAACTCAGGGGTACTTTCTATTGTGCACTAAGACCAGAAAAGACCAGTTACTAAATTTGCCATTTTTCAAGTGGGGCTTCTGAATGTAAACTTCCCTTGTTAGTGGCTCATTGAGCCGCCTTGCAGCGAGCAGCGAGCACCCATCATTCACACGTGTCCTCAATAATGAACTAATTTGATCTGTCATTTGTACTTGAGACATCCCGGGAGGGTGCATGCTGTATCCTCTGGTTCCCGTTTCTCCAGCGCAGTCACAAATTAGCGAGCTCACAACTAATCATTTAGGTTGATTTTATTTTAATTTTTTAAATTTCTTTTTATGGATTATTTTTGTAAAAGTGCACAGGGGGGGTAAGAAGGAATTTTATTGCCTGTTCATCATCAGTTAATTTAAAGCCATGTCTGTTTTATGGAAAATGTATAGAAATGGAAAAACGATGTATAAATCTCTATTAGACAAGTACTTGATTGATGTGTATGGGAAACACAGATTTGAACAAAAAGAAAACGTCCACCTTAAGCAGTAGATTTATCTATCTATATATATCTATATATATATAGTTAGCTGTGTTCAAATATCTATTTTTGCACAGTGAAAGAATATGTGCATGTGTGTTTGTGTGTTTGACAGTGTGCGTCTTTGTGTAGTCTGACATCAAATCTGTTGGCCGGGGCTTTCCTCGCATAGTTTGAATAGAGGCTGAGAAAACATTGGCTTTCCAAATCTTTAATAATTCTGCACACGGTAAACTGGGTTCTTTTCTGGGCCCCAAAAATCCGCTGATATACTGAAATTGGGACTGAAATTAACCGCATCGCTTCTCGACATCGGCAGTGATGACAGACTTATCGTTGCTGGTTGTTTATTTTTATTTTTCTTCTCGTTATGTGATTTGTTATTTTCTTCATGTGTAACGGAGCCGAACCCCAGACAGGAGCGAGCAGTAAGCAGTTTTAGTTAACTTTCTTGTGCTGTGTGTCGACAGGTACACGGCGTCACCAAAATTAGGAGAGGGGGGCGTGGGGGGGAAAGGAAGGGCTGCCTCAGTGATGTACCAAAAAAGACTGATAAAGGCTTGTTTTTGCTGTAAACTTAATGTTTTCCCTCTCATGGAAAGATGTGAGTGATTAAAGCAATAGAGCGATGATGCATTTTTTTAAAAAAACATTTTTACTTGTTGGAAGTTTGCCTTCTTACTGTACTGGAAGAATGATGTATACAAAACAATGAAAGATGAGTTCTTCACACCAGGAGATGAGGTCACTACAGTGATTTCCAGATTGCTCCTGAACCAACAACAGCTGAGCATGTGCCTGTTCTCTATCCTGAATGGAAACCAGCAGGATGATGGCTTTAAAAAAACAAAACGACAAAAAGCTGACATAAGCCTTGTGATTATGTCTTCTGGTTTTCTTGTATTATTATTTTCTTCCCCACCTACTCTCCAAGTGGCATTCAGCAGTAATACAGACACTGTCCATAAGGTGGCACTCTAACATTCTTCTGTATGCGAAGGACAAACGTTTGACCTACATGACAGGAAATGTCACGGTGCAAGTTCAGATATACACATGCTGTATTTGATTTAGAAAAGTATGCTCATGGACTTTAGAAACATACATCTCTTCTAGCATAGCCAGATGTACTGGAAATGCATTAAACTGCATTACTGTAAACGTTACATGAGATTCTGATTAATTTTAAAATACCAATAAGTTTTTACATTTAGCAAGGATGTGACAACTTTAATTTTCAGCACATTTGTAGTTCTACCTGCTGTTAAACGTGTTGTAAAATGTTTGCAGCAGAACATTTAATGATCTGACGCTACGATAGTTTATGAAACTCCCTGAGAGACAGGAAAATGTCTACAGAGATGCTCTGCTGCCCTTTCAACACTTAGCTTTTCGCTTTAGTTGGAGACATCAGTCTGACTCTGCTGTAGGTTCTTTCCTGAATGCTGTAGATGTTTATTTGAGGTTATCTCCAGAAGAGGGGGGGCAAAGTGTAATAATATAAAACTATGAAGTGTATTCATTCACACATATTTTGCAGAACTTTGCATTTTTTGTTTTACATTCAAATTGCAAAGCAGGTCATGAAGAATGAATGTTTACTTAAAGGACAAATACTCAAAGATTAAACACTGAACTTGCTCATATGGGCTCTGTGCAAAGTAGCTTTTTAAAGTTAAAAAGAGCTCATACTATCTTATAAAAAAAAAATAAGAGTGCTGTGAAAAGAAGAAAAAGGCAAATATCTATCCTAAAATATGCATTTCACTGCTCCTGGTCATACTGCAATACTGTCTTTGTGTGGCTGTTTGAGGGTTTTGTGTTCTCTCGCTGATGAAATCTCTTCTCCACAAAGACTTCTTAAGCCTAGTGTTTGAGTCTGCTTCCCCTGATGGTGTGTGGTATTTGTGTGTGTTGCTCTTTACAAAATCTAATTATTTTTTGGTCTGAGTATGCTTTTATATTAAAAATGGATTAAAATAAAACTAGTGAAAGATCTGTTCGGATTTTTTATCAACTTTTTTTTATATGTTTTTAATTTGTTTTATAACAAGTAGCCAGTGCAGATGTGAAAAAGTTTTCAAGGACTCGACGCAGTCCCATGGAAACACTAAGTACACCTAATGTATACATAGCTCTTTAGTGGGCTCACCCCAGTATTTCAATTAGGTTGAGGTCTGGACTTTGACTAGATCATTGCAACACCTTGATTCTTTTCTCCTGTTGCATGACACCAAGTGACGCTTCAGCTGTCATACAGATGGCCTCGCATTTGACTCTACAGACTACTTAGGTATTCAGAGAACTTCACGGCCAATTCAGTGACTGCAAGGTGCCCAGGTCCTGTAGCTCTGAAAAAAGCCCAAGTCATCAAACCACCACCGGCATGCTTGTTGAACTCATATGAGATGTTTGTGCTAAGTTGTGCTTGTCTTGTCTGTCCAAAGGACGTTCCCAAAGTCTTGTGGGTGTTCAGATGCAACTTTGCAAAACTAAGGCATGTTGCCATCGTCTTTTTAGAAAGAAGTCTCTTTCTTCTGGCAGCACAACACACACTTGTTCAGTCGTTTCTTAATTATGCACAAACTGCATTAACTTTCACATTTAACTTGCGAACTGTAGAATTGAGGCCCATAGAGTCTGAGCTGTAGCTCTTGGGTTCTTGATTTTTCTTTGAAGGCTCTAAGGTCTAACCTTAGAGTGAGTTTGCTGGGACCTCCACTACTGAGAAGATTTTGGTATTGTGTTAAAACACTACCAATACTTATGCCTTTATAGAGATGCTCAGTTAATCAAGTGCATTTGATTAGCAGCATCTGGCAGTGGCTACTTACTCCCGTTCATACGAAAGAAATACTCAATACTTAGCTTTGACAGAACTGCATGTATGGTCCTGTGGGGAAAAACCCTTTCTTGACTGTGTATCTGAGGAACATCAGTATCAGCTCTTGATCGGTATCGGTCTATTTGTAAATAACTGACAGACATGTGTCTCAGCTGGTACAAAAGAGGAACTAGTAACAACACCAAAAAGAAAAAAAATCAAATTTCAGCAGCTGCTGTCAGTCAAAGCAAAGGTTTTAAACATGGAACATATTTTCATACTCAGCAAGTTTTATAAGTAAAAAGATTATTTATAAAGCTTACTAAGATGGGGGGGGGGGGGTAATAAAAAAGGAATTTACCTGAGAAATATCCTAGAATTGGCGTGTAAAGTACAAAAAATAATTAAAGCACTAAATAAAAAAGTGCCCTTCTGTGAGTTTATTAAGTCTCTAAATCACTCATGACATTTAGGACAATTTCCTCTATTTAAAACATATTAATGAGAAGCCGCAATCTAAGAGTTAACAGGCAAATAAAACAACGACCAAGGGCGCGCGCGCTCCTGTGATGGCGTGAACGCGAATTCCAAGCGCGTACCCGGCCGAAGTCGAATGCGGTAGTGTACGAAAAAAAACAAGCGAGCGGAGCCGACAGGAGACAAGACGGCCACAGTTTACCTCCACATCATAAGACCAGGTTTTGGGAGCGGAAATTTCACGCCCTGCCGGGTCGTGTTGCCGTCGGAGACGTCTGAGGATACTCACGGCCAGTAACAATAGGGTAAGTCTGAGCAGTTTTCATTTATGAAGCCGGCGACGGTCGAAGGAATCCGTCGTTAGGTGGGGAAAATGACGATGTGGCTGCAGTCCGTGCACCTCCTTTCTGTGCCTCAAAATGGCGGATAGGCCGCTCTGGACTGGAGCAGCAGGTACCCTGTCAGTGGGAGTTTGTCCTTGTGTGCCGACAAACAGCACTTGAACACTGGCTGTCATTTAAGCCCTTATTATTTGCTGTTTTGGTTAAATGTACATACTTGAGCTGGAATACAAAGTGCGGTTTTGATTGAAGTTAAACGAGCGAGCTAACTTTCTGGAGCTAACTTGGCTAACATTAACTTTAGCTGAAGATAACCTGGAATAAGATAACGATAACGACTGGCGTTGTGGTCAGGTAAGCCGAAGTAGAGTAAGTTTGGAGAAGGTTTCAGTGATAAGGTATATCAGTGCCAATTGTGCTGCTTATGGAGTCCACCTTAAGTTAGTAATAAGTAATTAGCGTAGTTAGAAGTGCAGTAACTGTGCCTGTCAACCTAGTCTCTTAACCCCTGCAGCATGCTTGAATGCATTTCCAAGTAGAGGGTTATCCTTGGAAATGTTAGGCCTGTGTCTCGTTTGAACACCTGACCGCCCGCACCGTGTGGTTCTGTTGTCGTTAACCGGCGGTGCAGCCCCGGCGTTAGCATTTGGAAGCGGTTGTGAGTGACGTTCAGGCGTCGTGTGGTTTATTGTGCAGATATTATTGTGTTTCGACATCAGTCAGCCCAGTTGCTCCCGTGACCTGTCACCGGGTGCGTTTCTCCCCTCTCTGGTCGCTGTCACACTGCTTGATGGATGCTCGGCTGAGGCAGCTCACATCATTGCTGTCACACTCGTGGGCTGCTTCACGCCGTGTGTTGTTGGCACGGTGTTTGAAAATCAGGGTGGAGCACGCAGGAGGAGGCGACGTGTTTGCATGTGTGCCTCGCTGTTTTCTGTGTCTCGTTGTATGAATTCAGAGTCTAGTGAAAACGGGGATGAATGCTAGTCTTTGCTCTGGCAGTCTCATGGGGGAGAGTACGTTGTCGCTACTTTGCGCGAACCTTGTTTTCAGATCGGATAAACCATTAATTTGAGCTAGGATCAGCCACGCCTGGTAAGTGTCCTGTCCTGATCCTGTGGGATGTTGATATTTATTTTAGAAAACGGCATTCAACACGTCTTACACTCCATGCAGGTGTTTGCGATTGTGTTGTAGGTTGTGACAGACTTAAGAGGACTCTCAATTGCAGCCATTTTGAGGAGCAATGCAGTTTTTGACAGTAGCGGTTGTTGGGACCTGTCACTTGTAATACTATTATGATATGCACACACTTATGTTAAACACTGATGCCAAATGCTGAAAATTGCTTTGGTCTTGTTGTGGGTCAAAGTTGGCCTGCTATTTGCTTGATCCGTTTCTAAATCTGCACAGTCCACACGAAGTTTAGTAATAATTTATGCAGTTTTCTTTCAATGTCAGAAAATGTAGCTATACAGACTGTCCATGATGTCAAAATAGTTCAAAGTTCAACTTTTAGTTTAAGAACAGCAGCTTTGTATTTGTATAAAATATACTGTATGCTGAGCTGATTTTTACTTGACAGTGTTTTTGTTTTTTTCTTTTCTCGTCTGTGCTGAGTTTTTATCAGCAGTTGATTTGAATAAGTACATCTCTGTAGCCAGGCCCCATTCAGTACTGTCAGCACTGGAAACACAGCAGCACCAATTGTGTTTCACTGCAATGGGAAGCTTTAGAAATTGCTTTTAGTCCATCAGCAAAACTGCAAAGAGTCACTGATGTTATGGGGTTGTCATCTAATAGTTGTGGAAAATGTGAAGATTTTTGTGAGAAAGGAGCAAATTGTGCACCCTCCCCCCCTTTTTTTTTTCTTTCTTCTTTTTCTGCCAGCAGAGAGTATTGAGACAGAGAGAGAGGCTGTTTGCCTTTGCTATAGTGGATGGCTTACAGTAGCACAGAGGTTCACCTCCCAGACAGCTTGCCCACTGCTAAGCTGACTG